CTCTACTCTTAACAGGCATAAAATAACTGCACTAACGATTCGAGAAAAAGTGAAAAAAAAAACGTTGTACAGGTCCATAAAATGGGTTATAGGGGAAGGAGAGTGAATCACTCTTCTGCGGGTGAATGTCGAACTTATTAGGTAGTGACCATAACTACCATGACACCACACTCTTTAACTTTACAAACCCACAAGGTCACTTACAGACTCTTGCTTTTATTGTAAATAATCGACTGTCTTGTTTTGTTGCATCTGAATCCGAGGAGATTGCAATGCGTCTTCATAGTCAACTTCGTGCTATGCGGTGTTGTAAACAGCCATAACGAGAACTTTAAAGGATTGTCAGTTTTAATGCCACTTTGGGTTACCATGAAAAGCCAAAGGAAAGGTAAATGAAACGGAAGCAATATTTGTCATTAAGGGTGATGTTGTCAATTGTAAAAAACGAAGGATGAGTCAAGTTGAAAACTGTTTAGTGTCTTCCAATGACATCTCTTTTTATTTATTCTACAGGCTTCCCAGAAGCTGAGTGAGGTGAAGCAGCGCCTTAACTGCGAAGACCTGGATTGCGTCTTCACGAAGATTTGTGAACTGAGCAGTGACACCCACGTAAGTATGCCTTAACTACGTTGAGAATCTATTCACCTGTATATAGATCACCTAGGCTGGCCACAATTGCTTATACTTCTTTTTGAAGGTTTTACTTGGAATAGTGTGTTGAACACGGTATGTTTACTCACAGCGACATCAACTCATAAAATGAGTGTACACGGCGGTATAGCTTGAAGTTACCCCACGGTATATGAGGTGTGCATTCTTTCAGGTTAAGCATGCATGTTGATCATGTCGGTTGCCGTTCTTTCACTTTAAATCTTGAATACTAATTTCAAACTTCAGAATATTTACTTTTCACGAATATGTAAGTATTCGTCATCGAAGGCACACCTTCAAAAATAATGGACTTCGACTCAGATAGGGTTACGCTAGTGAATATGTGAGTGGTAAAAGTGGCAAACGATCGAGGAAAAAAAGCAGGAGATTTCTTGGTCACCAACATCACATAGCAAGAAGCATTTCTACTTTCTCACACTGTTTCCGTAGAGATGAGTTTAGAGACAATCGAAATTGGAAGAACCAGAAAATGTATACAAATGCGCCAGTAACTGTTCGTTAATTCAAAAGAAAGCCTGAATACATAAAGTTGCCACTTAACTCTTGCAGTTGATAATCCTGGGGTGAAAGCGTTTCACATATTGCATTTAAGTTCTCACCTGTGACGCTCAACTATAACGACAGAGCATAGTCAGGACGGCTGAATACAAATTTGTCTATATATGTATCTAACAAAAAGTTATTCCCTCAGAAATTTTATAAATCAAAACTAGAAGATGGTGCATATGATGAAGGAAATACTGTTTGTTTTATCTTCAGATATACAGTTCCAGACGTCGGCACATTTCTAGTGATGGCTGCCAATTAAATTCTATCTTGTCCCTCGGGCAACTTACACCGGAACTCAGGGCTTTCGGCCTCTTGTTTCAAAAACAGAGCCTCGATGCAGAACCCATTCAAACTCTCTTAGCATTTCCTTGGTAGATTTTTAAAGCAAAATGATGGTACAAGCAGCATAGTTCGAAGAATTAACACCGCATTTTTGTCTAAATTTTTAGGACTGGTTTGTTTTTTGTCAGTGCACTAACCCAAACACTTCACATAGTTGGTGTTGATCCAGACAAATCTTGATGTTACCATTAGCAGGATTCTAGTTTTAATTATTCGTCAAACTTTGCTGCAGGCATTGAAATTTATAAAATAAAAAAATAGTCTAAAAGTGAACAAATATCCAGGCAATATGAAAAGATAAGCACGTATCTATTGCACTTTAGTCACTCGTTTAATAGTTTTATTATTATTATTATTATTTTGCAGCAAGAGCACGCCAACACATTCCTGCCGGTAAGTCAATACTGCTTCGCTGTTTCTTTTCAGATATAGTGAAAGAATGAACTAAACAAAAATTTGTGGGAGACCCTGTAACTGCCAGACAGTCACAAGCAATGCAAAGCCGAGCAGAGGAAACGAGGGTTGTTTTGCAGTGGCAGAATAATTGGATTTTTATTTTGACAGGTCGTGAAATTAAGTTTCAAAGATAGCATAAGTGGATACTAATTCTTCCATATGTAATTGCCACTCGCCTTTCTGTTTTAATTGCTACAGTTCATTTTTATTTCCTCTTCCTATTAGTTAAATTGAATGTGCCTTGTGAATTATTTGCTGAATACTAATGAGAATTACAGAAAGGCGAGAAACTTAGAAAAACTTCCGCAATGACGAACATAAATGGCATTGATCTAATTCTCTCTTTGCTGTCTGATTCGCAAACATCCTGAGCCTGTCAATGGAAATGCAGCAGGCAGACGTGATGCCATATGGAAGTTTCTTAGAATGCTAATATGTGGAGAGAGTGTGTTATCTGCATTGAGCCAGGTTCATTAAGTTGTTTTCAACTTTTTAGGACGACGTAAAGACGGACGTTCGTGCAGCTCTTACGCAATGCCGGCCAAGCAACTAAAGGGCAGCCCTCCAGCATCTCGCAAGCATGTCATCGAAGACCACGTAACCATCGACTTGTAGTAATAATGAATTGTATATTTCAAACGAAATAAAAAACGATGTCTTTTCTTAACTGCTGACCAACATGTTCATTCATTCAATCATTTTTTTTTTCTATTTTTGCAGTTGACAAAGCGTGAGGATATAGTGGGATGTAAAACTTGGGCTTCTTGAATTTCCTATACTTACTTTAGCCTAATTAACTGTTATATCTCTAAGATATTTGGTGTAACAAATGAAGCGAGCCTTAAATGTACACTTCTTTTCTTCATTTTCAACGAGGGGATCGGTTTGACAGACTTAGAGCCTTCAGATAGTATATAAGGTATTGCGCCACGTGACGCCTAAACATGGAGACAAAGGGTGTTCTGCAATCGCCGTCATGGCTACTAGGCGGCGCTGCCTGACGCACTGTTTAATGTACATATATAGTTCGTGAAGTGGTCGGGAGATTGTCGCCGTGGTAGCTGTAGCTCAGTTGGTAGAGCTTCAGACGCGTTATTTCAAGGTCGCAGGCTCGATCCCTGCCCAAGGCAGGTTATCTTTTCGTTTACTTTTCTTACTTTACATTTACACCAGAATTATTTCAAATAGCATACCCTATAATTTCCTTCATTCATAAGAAAGAGGACGACAAGAACTTGAAAAATTACAGGCCGATAAGCTTGATATCCGTCGTACTATTTACAAAGGTAATGCCTACCAGAATAAGACAATATTATAATTAAATTACCAAAGGATTAGGGAGTACTTTGTACAGACTACTCAACAATCGACCACATTCATACTATCAATCAGGTGATAGAGAAAAGCTCAGAATATTGCCAACTACTATACATAGTCTTCATAGATTACGAGAAGGCATTTAAATTAGTAGAGATATCAGCAGTCATGCAGACACTGCGGAATCAGGACGTCAACAAAGCATATATAAACATCTTGGAAGAAATCTACAGAGGATCAACTGCCACCATGGTGCTCAATAAAGAAAGCGACAGAATACCAATACAGAAGAGTGTAAAACAAGTGGATACGATCTGCTCAATGCTACATATCGCGTGCTTACAGACCTTTTCAGAAGCTTAGAATGAAGTGAGTTAAGAATACGAGTTGATAGAGGATACCTTAGTAACCTGCCCTTGGCTGGTGACTTTGCATTGCTGCGTAACTCAAGGTAGAAATTGAAAGTCATTATTACCGAATCAGGAGAGAAGTAAGGTAGGTCTCAAAACTATTCTGCAGAAAAAGAAAGTAATGTACAACAACCTCGGAACACCGCTTCGAGATAGGCAGCAGTGCACCTGAAGTTGTAAAAGACTGTGTCTATTTAGGACAGGTAACAACGGCGGAGCCGAACCACGACATTGATATAACTGTGAAGAATAAGACTGGGGTAGAGCCCATTTCGCAAGCATTCTCAAAATATGAATGGTAGATTGCCACTATCCCTCAAGAGGAAGGTACAGAACCGCTGCATCCTACCGGTGCTCACTTACAAAGCAGAAACCCGAAGGATTATAAGAACGTTCAACTCAAGTTGAGGATGACGCAGCGAGCAATGAAAAGAAAATTATATGCACAACCTTATGAGACGAGAAGAGAACAGAGTGAATCGGGGAACAAACCGGGGTTAAAGATAGTTGAAATCAAGAAGAGTAAGTAGACATGGGTCGGGCATGTAGCACGTAGACAGGATATTCGCTGATAATTAAAGAAGCAGCGACACCAAATTTCGAACGCAAGATGAGGCGTTCACTTCAATTGCTTGGTACGCATGGGTTTCTTTATCAAAATATTCGACTGGTCTTTCATGTTCACATGCAGAGCGCCAATCGTGACGAATTTTTGCTGCTGTATTGACCTTTGATATGCCGTACCCACTCTTCCAAGGCTTCTGTTTGGATAAATTTTTATGCTTCTCCCAACACTCCAGTTTTTTGCTCATATATATAAACTTATAGATTACCTTGTGTACTGTAAGCTAAAACACCATCAGTTCCTTCCTGAATGCAGGCCATGTAGGGGTTTCACAAACTCGGACTCTATCTTCCAGAGCTACGCAAGCAGCACTTGCAAAGGCGACAACATTGGTCACTTACTTTTTGTGGCTTTCTTACGATTGAGCAGCCAAGCAGCTGACCCAACGCATATGTTCTTACTTCTCCAAAGGCAGTGTCTTGACAGTGTGTTTGAAGCGGCTTGCAAGCGAGCATGTCTGTTCACGTGATGGCAGAGGCGTTCGCGTTTCTCTTTGGTGTTGTTTTTTGCAAGCGATGGATGTGGTGTCACAAGATTAAACGGTCGTTATCAGTGTTGGCTGTGAGAAAACGGTAGTGCGTGCATTTTGTCTTATCGCATCGTGCTTACTGCGAGAGTTACAAAACGCAGTGCGGAAGAGGGTCGTGTGAAGGACTTCTCACCTTCATGCAAGACAGAACTCGTTTCTCCATCTACAGACTCTGGTTATTGCCCACCCTCGTGGACGCTTTGCAAAGATGAATATTCTCATTGCGCTCAACATTCTCGCCGTCCTGAGCATGGTCAGGGCCACACATGTGCCCCTCTGCCGTAAGTGAGCATTGCCATTTAAACGCGATAGCATTCTGCTTCCTTTCGCAGGAAATTCAGGTGTCAGGCGTTGGCATCATTGGTTGCGAGCTGGAAAATCATCTTCTCCGTGACAGAAACATCCAGAAAGATTGAAATAAATTGAATATTAAAAAGTTTTAGGCCCGGGCGTGAAGAGCGAACCCTTATCATCTGCGTGGTAGCAGGCGTTACGCAACAGAGACAGGATATTTGTTCAGTATTTCCAGAAAAAAAACAATTTGAGATAAGTAAAGGTAGGGAGGTCTCCGTAACGCACCATCTTTTTCGAGGCAGAAGCATAGAATCATGCCAGACGTCAAAACATTCGAATTGAGTAACGAGGGACTGTTACAAAGGATCCACCTGGTAAAGCGCTAAGACATAAGGTAGCAGCGTAGCCATGGACAAGGTGAAGAGCTGCGCAGGTTCGTGCGTTGCTCTACGGGTGCGTAGTGGGCCCTTGGCTTATTTGCAAAAGGAATACCAAGGGCGTAGCGGGAACCCTGCTGACGGTAGGCATATCATGATACTTTGAAACGGCCATTGTGACGCGCACAGTCGTTCGTTTCCTTACGGCACGCTTAAGGCATGCAGTCAGATCCGAATCCAGCTTATTCAGAAGGCGATGCTCACGAGACTCGATTACGCTATCGCCATCATGCACGCGAAAACTCAAGTGTCCTCAAGTAAGTATTTCATGAACTTGAAAGCGAGTGCCCTGTGATGCGTGAGACGAAGTTTCGAGGCAATAACGGCAGCCTACTTTACCAAGTCAAGGGACACTGACCAGCCGAGATGACACATTGAATACATACGAATGAATCTGATCAAATAGATGTCGTACTTTCAATGCCAACTACGAAGGCCATATTTCGACGGATGCTGAGACTTGTTCTATTGCAGCGCAAGAACGAGAGTGCTGAAGGAAAGGCGTAACGTAAAGCAAGGCGAAGGACAGAAAGCAAAGAGGGACGATATAAGCGATTTCCCTTCCTGCCTTGCTTTACGTTATGCCTTTCATTCAGCCCTTTATTGTTAGCGCTGCAATTCATTTCAACATGTACTTTCACCAATCAGCCCAAATAACCAATCTGCTTCTTTGTACCAAGGCTGAAGTGCGCGCTGTGAACAGTGTTCGACCATGATGAATCGAGAGCCACCCATCGCACCTCACTGCGCTTTCGACTCGAGCAAGTGCAGCCTTGGTGGCCGGTTTCAAAAGCTAAAGCTAATTGTGGCGTTTTCGGAACGAGAACAGTTATCGTTGCTTCTAAGATGTTCTTATTCAAAGCATGATGCTTTGTGCCCCAGACCCTGACGTCTAAATCTAATTGCAGCAGATAATAGGATCCACCACATATGTTCCTAGTGATAAAGCACTATGCTGTAAATTAGAAAAGAGACGTCAGGGACATGAAAAAAATTGCCCGCAGCTTCCCTCGGGGGAACACTGAGGAGGATGCGGAGCATATAATTGGTTAACGGGGTGTTAAAGTGCGACTTACTTGGGTCGATGGCTAAATTGGTTAACGTGGTTGTGAAATGGGGTGTTAAATTGCGACTTACTTGGGTCGATGGCTAAATTGGTTAACGTGGTTGTAGGAGGGGGTGTTAAATGAGTGAACACGTACACACGTATGCGAAAGGGCGGCGCTGGTCGAAGGGACGTCGATCATTGTGTTTGTGGATTCGTTGGAATTCATTTCACCGCGACCTTGGACGTCGACGCGCCGTACAAACCAACCCACGAGCGGCAACTGAGCGAGCGAGCGCCGACCTTGAGTATATATACAGCTCGACGGCGCATGCACTGTCAGCTGTTGAATGTTCTCGAAGCGCGACGCCACATGCGCGTCCACTGGAGAATCAGGAGAATTGTAGATGTCGAACGTGGTGTGTAGAGGAGGAAGGGTGCACAGATGGTGGAGGAGTGAAGCACGCGCGGTGTGTAGAGGAGGAAGGGATGCACAGATGGTGGAAGAGTGGGCGACGGCGCGACGGCGCATGCGCGCGCGTCAGCTGTCGAATGTTCGAGAAGCGGTGCGGACGGCGCGGACGGCGCACTACAAGGCACGAGTATAAGATGCTTCCACATCTAAAATTGCAGGCCGATCAGCTTATTGTTCGTTGTGCACAACCTATCTACGTTGGTTATAAATCAGAGCTTGGCAAAACGAAACAAGATACTCCGGCAAGAAGCATTAGAGATAGATAGAAAATACTACCGCAATAATTCTATCCGATACTGCACTTTGCAATTGCATCCTAAAATACTTTGATACATTCGCAAACGTGTGGTTATAGACATGCATAATATTGTATTGAACGCCTATGCACAAAATCTCTGCTGAAAATTACTTGAATGTGACCAATTACGTTTAATAGTAATGATATGTCTGCTAGTATGTCAAAAGTTTTGCCTTCTTGCTCAAAACACGTAGTTTACTCCCGAAAGAACTTATTAAGGTTTGTATTAGCTAGCTGCCTAGCAGGAAAGCTGTTTATACACTTCGTTCAGAACACTTCTTTTTGTCATTTTGTGAATAATGAAAGTCGCGGCTCATCTTGATGAAAAGCTAGAGGGTGGCCATGAAACCATAAGTGCTTCGGTAAGAAGCCTTAGCCCGATAGTGCAAATATAGGTGTGTGGTTTTACCTGGTTCATGAAGGACTATTTACGTAATATCTAATCGCCGGTGTAAAGCAGCAACAACGCTAGTAGTGCCATTTTTATGAGTGGGCACATGAATTTGCAAATATTTTTTCATATTCTCTTTATCTGGTGGCGTAGAGCGTCCGTTATCTGCATACTCACTATTGGGCGCACTATTGTTTTTTTTTTTCAACCAGAGCACTTTTGCACGCCAGAATTCCCTCAGATCTCTTGTATTGTGACCTCGTCGGGGCTATGAAAAAGCAGCATTCTAGCGGTGACGAAACTCCTTATTGGGCTAAGTTTAATTATGCAACTTCAGTACGAGCAATGCATGCTGTAGACTGATAGAGGCAGTATTAGTTGTTGGTCGTCGGTAATGTGGTCATCGGCAGACAGAGGCATAGCCAGAAATGTTTTTCGGGGCGGGGGGGTGGGGGGGGGGGGGGTCCACACCAACCCGACATGGGAAACAGGGGGCTTTGACGTGAGAATCGGCGGTAGTTTGAGCAGACTTAGTACATGTATATCAAAGTCATGAGACCCCCCCCCCCCTAATCCCTATGCGTGTGCTTGGAAAGAGTGTCAGTAAAAGTGAAAGCATTCACAGTAATTACAGTAAACGACTGGTACAGTGACCATTTGGAGCAATAGGCTCTTGTCGCACCACTGAATGGACTACTCGTCGAAAATGCTTCATTGCGATGACCCGCCCTATCGGAGAAGACATCGTTAATCGTTATTCTCTGTTAAGTGTAGATGACACAGTCCTTGTCAAGGTGAAGTGCGTTTCACAAGTCAAAGATGGCTCTCCTTAACACGAGGAATTATAGCCATACACAGCATGTTTTTGTACACTCATAGTTACATTTCGGTTTCGCTTACTTCGCTAAGCGAATAACTTTTTACTGTCTATGTTTGTACTTGCTTACCTATAGGAATATTTTTTATGTTAAGCTCTAGTCAAGTTCCGTTTTTGGTCTTCCGCTTGCTGCGCTGGTTGCGTGACATTTGCTGCTGTCGGCAAGGAAGCCGAAGAGACTTTTTATCTCCTGGCACCTTGAGAAAATGACCGCTCGGACATCATTTCGATAGAGACGTTTTTCGTTTCTCTTCTGTTCCTGCACCCCTGGTTTTTATCCCCTAACCCTCCAATCAAACACACTTAAAATCTTAACACAACGCACGAATGTATCTCCTCGACTCCTGGTTGGCTGCCGTTGAAAATACTAGGCACAGAGTCTTTCTTTATCGGATCTTCCTCGAAGTACCACCGCCTCTCGACGCCGCTCAAATTTTTTCATTGTGGTTCCCAGACGGTTCGACGTCTGGCGTCAACGAGCTGAGTGAGCGCACCTCCCGGGTACGTGACTGAAACGCTGAGCTGACAGGCCATCAGTATATTTGGCCCGTGTATCAATGCCGCCGCTGCCGCTGGGTTCGTATGCCTACAGCGGAGCGCAAGTGCACCTTCCACCCTTGCAGCTGGGCTGGGCTCTTGTTTCCAGGGGCACTACCACTAAGCCCCTTGGCGACGTGGGTCTTCGCGTCCTTTATGGTCGACAGACAGCCACCATTCCACCAATTCGGTGATACAGCCTCCCTCATGGCATGGGCTCACCGTCAGCAAGCCGGGTAACAATATGAAGGTATTCGGCGAACGCACGAAGTTCGAAACTAACACCTCCCATCCAACTGTGTTGCACTGTATCTATGACATGTAACACAAACACAAACACACATTCACACATGTTCACTGGCTTGATACGTGAGATACCAATCGTCACTCATACGTCTTTAACTACTGTCGCGCGCCTGCACCGACAAAACACACAACGTCGTTACCTCGCTGTACCTTTTAGGCGTCATCGTTGGGAGTCAGCCAACCGCGACATTGCGTCTGCATTAGCGATTAGAGACCCCTGTTTGCGTTCAATTTTCAGGCTATATTTTTGCAGTGTCAACGCCCAGCATGTCAGCCTCGCGCTCTGCGAAGTGGTTAGAGTCCGAAATTTGAGCGGGTTATGATCGGTAATCACCTTGACCTTAGCGTCAAGCAGCCAAACGTCCAACTTCCGCCGTGCCCAAAGGATTGCATAAGCTTCCTTTTCTATTGTGGCCCATTGGGTCTGAGCCGGGCTAAGGTTCCTGCTCAGAAAAGCGATAGGGTGCTCCTTGGCCTCCAGATCTTGCTGTGCCAGGCCCGCACCAACGGCAAAATCAGATGCATCTGTGGCGAGGATAAATTCCTTCCTCGAATCTGGGGCCTGCAATGCCGACGCCTGCACTATACAGTTTTTCACTTTTTCAAAAGCTTCTTGCGCTT